CAATCTGAGAATCTACAATTAAGTTCGTAATGTACCCAAGTAATAAAACTGTTCGTGACAGTTCTACCGCCCGATTTCTTCTTATAATGTTTACGTGATAAGGGCTTTATACTATTTTCCACTCATCGGGCGACTTCTGCAATCTCGTTGTCAGACCCTCATTTGCTCATTTTACACTGGAGTAATTCCTAACGGGGCAGCCAGAGACCAGGTTGGATTAGAATTTTATCAAGCAACTTTCCGGCCTTGTGGTATTTTAACGATTCCTTACATTTAACATAATTTTTCTCCGGTGGTGTTAGACTAAATGATAGGCGATTCGAATTGAAGAATTCGTATTAAACCGAATCCGCGCTTTGACGAAACTTTGAAACAAAACGCACAAAGTTTGATCGGAAACGTCGTTCCGAAGACGCCATTTTTTTCAACGAAATACCATTTTTATTCTTATACGAAAGTCCATTTTCCGAATTTTAAACGTATTCCGCTTATTAGAATTTGTTTCCGTAGCTTTAGTATTTTATTTTCTCAGCGTGGCACGAAAGCTCGCTGTCTTAAGTTAAGCTACTTACTACGAGCTCTCTGTTTGAATCGCTCTTGGGTAAACTCCAACTTCTCAGGAGAATGGAATTCTACACTCTATAGAACAATGCACAACGGTACTTCTATAGTATTAGTAAAATACGATATATGTTTTTTTCTTTATGTGTATATACGTATATATATATACACACACACAAAGAAAAAACCTATATTCAGAATTGCAGAACTGTTATATATATTATAGCCTATATATATGAATTTTTGAATATACTCAAAAGAAAGATAAAAAAAATATTTCATAGAGCATAAACACGAACTGTTAGTTTCTCTCGAAACACATTTCTGATAACTTTAGAAGAAATTAAATCTGCAGAAATTTGTTCTTTTATCACGGTGAATGGGGCTAAACCTTAGGCATTTACCAATTTTTGCTTAAGGGACTAAAACTTCTAGTTACGCCACCGGATACCCTTTTCTGGGGATGCAATTTTACACGAGACATTTTAAAATTTTACACTTAATCTAGTTCCATGGTTCCCAATTAGTGGTACGCGTACCCCTGGGGGTACGCGAAATTGCACGAAGGGGTACGCGCGGCAATCTAAAATCGGTCGATTTAAAATTTAAATACGAGATGAAGCAATCAAAAAAATAATGGGTGGACCATCAAAAATTCGGCAATTTACAACATGTCGAATGCACAAATTCGTTTATTTATAACTAAAAATTTATTTATAACTAAACTCGAAATTTCATTAAAAAATGCATTTGTGACAATACCTAAATGAAATTCATATGCAAGAAACAAAATTGTACAATTATCATTATTATCGTTTCAGTGAAGTGGCAATAAAATATTTACTACCATTTTGCACAACATACCTCTGTGCGAGCGGATTTTCGGCCATGACAAACACAAAAACTAAACATCGTCACCGACTTCAACTCGAAGATGACTTGAGACTGAAGCTGACCAAAAACCAACCAGATTTTACAAAGTTGTACAAAGAAAATCGAGCACATTTGTCGCATTAAATTTAAATATCCTTATGTCATTTTCATTATTATTAGAATTGTATGTTAAAGGTAATAAATGTAAAAAAAAAAACTTATTCTATTTATCACTAACTGTCTACCCACAGCTTCACTTGCATTATACCGAATTTTCTCGTGGGAGTAAGATATTTTCTCGCAGTAAAATGTAGACTATGTCCATCTCCAACATGTAAGCTATCTCTGGGCAAATTTTATTAAAACCTGTTCAATGTGTTTAGATGTGAAAAGGTAACAGACACACATGCAGAATTACCTTCGAATTTATAATATTAGTGTGGATTAATATGAATTTCTGCTATAAGGGGTACGCGAGTTTGAGCTCTTTCTTGAAGTGGTACCAGTACGCAATTTCTTGAAGTGGTACAGTACTAATTGGGAACCACTGATCTAGATTCGTATCTACATCCTATATTACAACTAGGATTCTCGCTTCTCCTTCAATTTCACCCCCTACAAATCGACTAACCCTTTGACTGACTTAGACCAAATTTTCGTTATTCTTTTTCACCCTGCAGAGACGCTACCTTATAACCAGGACGACTCGACCCTCTTCCCGAGTTCCCGGACCACGCTGGGCATTCTTTACTAGTGTTATACATACAAATGATGTTTGTTCACTATGCACCTTTAGACCGTTCGACCAATTGTTCCGAAACTCGGCAGTTATGTTAATTTCTGCTTACATCAGACTTCCCTCCTTCGGACGTAGCGCCGTCTGGACGCATTTCTAGCATAAAATAAAAATTATGGCGAAGCTCCTGTAATAAGAAAAAATCTTACTGAAAAGATTACCCGATCTCAACAGCTATAAAACCCACGATTATCTTTTTTTTTTTTTTTTCTAGCACTTATTGTCTGTATGCTTGCGCGCGTGCTTGAACTTGTTTTAAACGTTGACAAATGAATGTGGTTATATTATGAATAAAATTACTTTTCATTCTTTAATAAGTGGAATCCCGGGACCGCCGAAATTCCACTTATCCGGAATCGTCCACTCGTGAAAATTTCTGGGTTCACCCCCCGATTCCTGAACGATATATCATTCGGCGGTCACTTTTCCAATTTATGCAATTGTATATTAAAATAACAGATACATTAACTTTTATTGTTGTTACTAGGCGCCTTCTCCCCTCTAGTTCAAAAATTTCTTCACAATTCATCGATTTCTGGTGCCACCGTAGGCCTAGGTCAGCGGGTAGCACGAGCTTTGCCATTTCCAATATAGGTTATTCATAAAACCTTCGTGACGTTTCGTAGATTTTAGGTGCCGCCTTTCAATTTCCTTTTGCTAAGTGCCTTCAATACGGTAAAACCCGGTTATTACGTTTAGCCAAGTAGACTGGCGGTCCCGCAGACGAGGGAGAGTAAAGGCTAGTACTCACATGAGGCAACGAACGACGGAAACGGTTGCCGTTCCGTCATCTTTCCGTGTTGCGTGTACTCACATGCGGAAATTACCCTTCAATTGAAATGCGCCATCTGCCAGCCGTAAATATAAAAAAGCTACTACAGTAGGTACGCCAAGTGCCAGTAATCGAAAATGGTGTCTACCGGGATTACTTTCTTATACCAATTAAACTTTTTAAGTCTGCCTTAGATCTTATCGCAAATTAAAAATCTCAAAAACGAATAATTTGAATAGGAAAAATATGCTAAATCGTCAAAAGTTAGGAATATCGAATATTTTCGTCACCGAATTACGATTACTCCATTCCCAATACTTTACGCAATACGTCTATTTGACATTAATATTTAAATCGGATAGTAATATAGCGTATAAATGAAATATATTAGCGTATTAGTGTACAAATAAAGCTTTTTAGCTTGCCGACCGGCATAGTTCGAATGCTGTCGTCCCACGCGATCTTTATGACGACATTGATAAACGGCATTCCTATTGGTCTAATTTTTGCCGTTCCGCTTTCCGCGACGGCAAAAGGAAAATTTTCAACTTCATATTCAGTCGGCTTCGACGGCAAAAGTGACGTCATTTTGCCTTTCCGTCGTCCGTTGCCGCATGTGAGTACCAGGCTTAAGCATTTCCGCGTTAGAGTCCAGTTACTAAAAAATGTCAATTTTTGTATCCCTTGACTTTGTGTTAATGGGGTTTGACTATGTACATATTTAAAAATACAGTATTTTTGGCTACGAATTTTTGTTTTATATTATATAAGGGAAAATCGTTTAATCTGTGAATTGCCTCTATCAATTATTAGTAACTTTCTATACGAACGACATGAATTGCACTTCCTACTAATATCCATTTTGTTTATTTGAAATTTATTTGCATGTAGCTTGAGTTCGTATGTAAAAGTAAACTATTTTGTTTTCTTTCGCGTTTAAACGAAACTGATGAGTCAAAGCAGTGCGCGATTATTTAAAGAGATTCGACTGTTATAAACTAATCACAGCCTACAATAACACATAATTTGTGTATTTTTTCGTTTCACTCCTTGTCAAAATTCCGACCTTGCTACCGTACGGCAAAACTTATGTTAGACGAACCCGAATAAAGCAGAAACCCGCCTAAACGGGAAACTCATCGGAACGGAGCGAATTTGTTTAAAAAGACCCGCTCGAAACGGAAAAATTCGGTTTACACGGATTTTACCGTATTACGTGATGTAATCATGTTTACCAATTCCTCGTTTCATAAAAAAAAAGTTCTATAAAACTGTGCGATGTTTATGTTATTTTCGCTATAATTCCAAATCTTTTAACAGAAAATCCAACTTAGTAGCTCTCCAGAAATCGTACAATTAGAAATTCTCGAGAATTTCGTCTGCAGGTGTATGTATAGGAATGCTATCGATAATTCAATGATCCAAAAACTACGGTTTAATTATACTTATTTTGGCTGTTAACGAATTAAATCGTAGTTTTTGGATAATTAAATTACCGGTAGCGTTCCTATACATACACCTGCAGACGAAATTCTCAACAATTTTCTAATTGGAATATTGCTGGCGATTCCAACAAGAATGGCAACATTTACAGATTAAACGTTTTCCAGGCCGCTTCTGTCCGACAAGAATTCATTGCAAGATTCGTAAGAACTCAGAGATGAAGTCAATCCATAAACGTCGTACTTTTGTAAAGAATTGCAAATTTATCTTCTGCCTATATAAACCGAAGTCGGTCTGGAAAATCCCACAGAAAACCGCATTAAAAGGTTGCCAATTCGTAAATTTACCCGAAGGCCCCGGCGACCGCAACGATCCGAGACTGCCGGGCCCGGATCGTTGCAACGCGTAACACCAAAGCGTAACTTTCGATACGCAACATTTTGCAGATCGGCGGCCGAGATATTCAACGACGAGACGTCACCGTTCCACAAAATTAAACGACTCGAATCGAAATTTTAAAAATAACCAAGTTTATCACAGACACACACGCGTGTATATGTAAAAAGTGTTTACTGAGAACAAATTAAACGACATCCACAAAAGCAACATAAAAACAGAATTAAACGCACATAATTAATATGTGGCTAATGTTAATGTGATTTTTCTTTCGTAATGATTAAAACACGATCTTTATTTGTATTGGCCGTAACCGCCGTATCCCTGGCTCTGAGGAGGAGGCTGCTGTTGGTATCCTCCGTACTGTTGGTACTGTTGCTGGTTGTAGTCGCTCTGGCCGTACTGCTGCTGCTGCTGCTGCGGCTGATGACCATATCCTTGGTTGTAATTCTGAGTCTGGTCGCTTCCCTGGCCGTAAGACGATCGACCATACGACTGCTGACCGTAGGAAGGGGTGCTCTGGGAATGCTCATAGTTTCTGTTGTAGTCGGATTGGTCGTAACTCTGTCCGTAACTACTCTGTTGGTCTCTGCCGTAGCTCTGGTTGTAACCTCCGGGATCTCTGGAGTGGTCGGGTGCCTGCTGGCCGTATCTGGGTTGGTCTCGGTGGTCCACGTGCTGGCCGTACCTAGACGAGTGGTCATACTGCCCGTATCTCGACTGGTCCTGCTGGGAATAACTCTGTTGACTCTGCTGTCCGTATCCGTATTGATCGCTTTGGTCGTAACCTTCGAGTACAAAATATATTACATATGTTTTTTTAAAACTCTTTCTGCCCTGTGGGCAGTAAGAGGACGTCTTTTAGTAAGCCCATTATGGGTTCGGCCAGGCCCACAATGGGGTGACCGGGTGGTGAGGGACGGGGCCCGACCTATCCGAACCACCACCGAACAGTTCCTGGTGATTTTTCGACCCGTCCGGATTCGACCCCAGGTCCCCTAGAGCGGTAGTCTGCTACCTTGACAGCTCACCCTTCCGGCTGCCCACATATATTACATATATGTGCTGTTAAAATTCGTAAAATATTTTGAAAATTTACGTTTCGTTTACGAGTTTCAAATGCAAAAACCGGGCTTTTTGGAAAATAAGCTTATTCTTGGAAACTACACTTTTGAAGGCTCCTCGAAATAAAAGATGCCTTTGGCGGACGAGGGATTAGTACAGTGTATTAAATGCTAAGAGGGTTTATCTCATTCCTGGCTTATAGTGTCAGAGACGAGCAGAGTACCATTACAATTATCTAAATATCTGCTATTTTTTAACGCTCTTTTTGTTATTTAATTGCAATAATAATAAAACAAAGACAAGAAAATCGTCAGTTTCTTCGTTGTAGCACACCTCTGCGTCGGAGTGCTACGACGAAGAAAATGACGATTATTACGATTTTCCTTATAATGACTGACGTAATTTATTAATAAAAAATAAGTTTCCGAAAATAAGCCCAGGCTTATTCCCCGGCTAATATTTTACAACTACGTCGTTTATTTATCTCCAGTCCGAGACTTAGAGAAATATCCGGTAGATTTACTGTCTTAAATTAATGCATTTCGTTACATTTTATAATAGTCTAAAGTCGACTCCAAATTTCGGCCTCGATGTCTAAAAACCTGATTATTTTTAAATCGTTCGAAGTTACGCCCGTTTAGAAATAATTCTTTTAATTATTCACTTACCTCCGCGTCCGGCCGATTTCCATTGGTCCTGAGGACTCTGATGATACCTCTGATCGTTATAACTGTCTTGAATGCCCTAAAATATTTTAAATATTTAACTTATTTATACTTCCAAACATTTACATTCAATATAATCAATTAATTCAAACTCGTATTATTATTTATTCGGGTGGAAATGTTAGGTCTTTGTAAAGATCCCCACCAAACAAAAATATTTTGTTAACAAAATATCGTAACAGATGGCGTTACAAGCGCAGTTTTAAAAGTTAAGCAACTCGTTGGCCGCGTTTCTTTTGGTACATTTGGTGAGAAAGAACAGGTGGTTGGACGCCATCTTTGACTGTCGTACTTTAATCATCAATAGGAAGTNGTTTTTTGTTTTTTATTGTTTTATAGTGTATAATAAAATAAATGACAAAAAAGAATGTTATTGTTTATGTGCAACCTCCTTTTTGCCACAAAAAGTCGATTTACCGAAAACTACCGAAATCTACCGAAAATTGCTTAAGGAATCTACCGATGGCAAGCAAATCGACGTGGCAACATTGATTTGGTGAGAAAGAACAGGTGGTTGGACGCCATCTTTGACTGTCGTACTTTAATCATCAATAGGAAGTGCTCAAGCGGTTTTTTCTTTTCATGAGAAGGACGAGGGTTTTTGCTAAAGTTCTTTTGGGACTAGAGGAACCTGTAGGGGAAGAATTTCCTGGACCCTTGGGGTTTTTTTCAGGTAGGAGAGTTTTTAGTACTCCGTTGTGGAGGATTTTCCAAGTGCAGGGAGGGATACTCCCCAGCGAGGATGTCCTTAGCCACAACCGCTAGACTCGGCGGCTCACATTGCGCTTAATGACCTCTGCTTTTTCGCCCCTTTAACGGAAGCGGAGAAATTACATTCCATTAGCTGGTCGCTACCCCCGGAGCAAGTTTATACGGTTTTTCTGGAGGATCAGAGTCCCCTCCACCGTCTTCGCCCAGCGGAACTTCATGCAACACTTAAACAACACTTCACACACCCGGAAAGCATACAAGACGTTAGGTATACCCGGGCAGGCGTTCTTATACTTAAATCCTGTGACCCCGAAACTGTGGAGGAGGCCCTCCATATCACAGACTTGGCTGGGACCCAAGCGAGGGGCCACTTGGCGTCCAACTGCGCACTTACTGTGTATCTTGTGCGAGGTGTTGATACATCAATAGCTGTAACAGAGATATACGACATACTTTCGGCCAAAAACATTCCAGTCATAGAAATATGCTGCTTCACGCGGAGAGAGGGAGACTTAGTAGTTCCAAGCCCCACAGTTTACTTGTCGGTGGCAAGTGCTACAAAAATGGAGACAATTACTATCAGTGCTATAGACGTGAAAGGTACATTCCTTGTCCGTGTCACTGTGACCAGTGCCTTTCTTTCGGCCACTTAGCTGTTTCATGCAGAGGCCGACGTAGATGCATAAGATGTGGAGCAAACCATGAACCCAACGAATGCAATGCTGAGTGGAAGGACTGTGTTTGCTGCGGAGGAACACACAAGGCAGACTCCCCTCAATGCGAGGCTAGAGTACTCAAACTTTGCGTTACACACAGGTGTTCATACCAAGAAGCAAAGAGATTGCCTGAATGTCAGAAAGTGACCTATGCCACGGTGACAGCTACACATAAGCCGACAAAACCCGAGGAAGCCTCCCGACGCTCCACTTGGGTAGGGGAGAAGCTTGTCCGGGGTCCCCCAGCTTTGACAGACGACATCTCGTCATTAACAAGCAGAATCACTCTTTTAGAAACTACAATAGAGGCATTATGGGTAAAGATCTGCAGTCTCAACAAAAAACTACAGTCCTGCCAGACAGTCTCAGATCAGGTAACCCAAACCCTAGAATGCGAGCAGAATATGGACATCACACCAACAGTGTCCACGCCCAGTAAGCGGGCATCTAACTATGCAGAACAAACAGCCGCAGAACAACATGCCAAAAAGAAAAAACGCACAAAACTCCGACATGCAGCTGCACCGGACATATCTGACACTGAAGGCCCACCTTCTGACACAGATCTATCCCAAATCACAAATACATCCAGGGCAATTTCTCTAGAAGATCTAAGTTTTACAACCCCGGCTGAGCAGGTAAAAATTCGTAAGCGTCAGCCAAAAAACCACCCTCCCCATGTCTAATGCTACCAGTAGTAAGACAACCATTCGAATTATTCAATGGAATGTGAGAGGACTACATTCCAAACGGGACATCCTCATTACCATGCCCTGGTTCCAGGAGATAGATGTTCTCCTCATACAGGAGGCGTGGCTGACCCCGGGCATAACATTTACCCTACTGGTTTCTCCCTGTTCCTTGATGACCGCCCTTCCGGTCAGGGAAAACATAAGGGGCATAAGAGAAAGGATCTAGAAATGGATAACCGACACCATTTTAGTTTTAGTGAAACTGTTTATTTCTTTTGTAAGAGAAAAAAGAAGAAAAATTTTGAATTGAACTGTTTTGTCTCTGTAGTTGTTTCATATTCTAATTCCTTTTTTGGACTGCAAATTGAAAAAATTGTAGACATAAATTACCAGCGTTGTGTCTGCCTGCCCTTCCTTGACCTCGAGAACAGGGTTAGATAGATGAAAGTCTAGACTAGATATGGAAAGCTTAGGAGCAGAAGGCCCTGATTAATGATATATTAACTTCTGGTTTGCATGGAAGTCACATTATTTCAATTCAAAATTTTTCTCAAATGGAGTTACATACATGACTGGCATGGTTCTATTGTTAGCAGGAAAAGTATGATATATGGGGACAAAACACTACTAATTTGAAGTAGAGAACATATATTTTAAGTTAAATAAACTAAAAATGTGATTAAAAAGCCCAGCCAGGCATTTTAATGATGTCACAATAAAATAATTGCTTGTTTTTTTACCCCTTCCTAGTATATAGGATAGTGTAAGAAAGCTGATAAATTTGATGATAATGTAAATTTATATTCATTTTCCATGTGAGAAGTTGTTGCTTATATGTATATTTTTGTGAAAAATACATCATAGATTATATTCTCCTTTGTGTATGCTTTGTGCTTCATAACTTACATAACAACAACATATTAAATTGCCTTTTTAAAATATATTTTCAATAATCTAGAAAAGTTCATTTCAGATTTAAATTTTTAAAGAAAACAACCATTTGCCAACTGATACAATGATTAAGCTAATGCAAATAAAAAGAAAATTACCTGATTTCCTCCACCACGACCATACTGTGAAGGAGAATTTTGTCCATATGATGACTGATATGGATTTGAGCCTCTGTTCCAACTCTGATTTCCGCTTTGCATTCCAGATCCAGCGGGGGAACCGTACGAATCGGATCTACCATAGCCACCTAAATACAAGGTTTTAATAAAATTAGAACATATACGCGAATATATCAAACAGCATGATCTAAACTTACCTCTGTCACCCATCATGCTGGCAGGCGAATTTGAACCTCTGTATCCACCTCTGTCTCCCATTGAACCGGCAGGCGAATTTGTACCCCTGTATCCTCCTCTGTCTCCACCCATGGAGGGCACATTTCCTCCTCTGTAACTGTCTCTGTCTCCACCACCTGTCATACCTCCTCCTCTGTAGCTGTCCCTGTCTCCGCCACCATAAGACATACTGTCGCCTCTGTAACCGCCTCCTCTGTCTCCTCCCCTATCTCCACCTCCTGAAGACATGTTTCCACCCCTGTAGCCACCCCTATCACCACCAGAAGAGAAATTATCTCCCCTGTTATAGCCGCCGCGAGACTGTCCCCTTCCTCGTCCACCAGATCTTCCATCTCCTTGGTAGCCTCTATTCCCCTCCCAATTACTCCTATTATTGGAGTCACCTGCAAAAACAAAATTACACAAAATAAGAAAATAGTATTATATAAGGTTCATAGTAAGATTAATTTAAATAAAACAAACCAGTATTTTGCTGATTGTTTGGACAGAACCTTTTCTGCTGTGGGCCGACAGCCGCTTGCCCTTCTTCGTTGTATTGCTTAACTAAAGGTTCTGCTTCTTCTTTTGGAAGTTCAACATAGGTCACATCGTCAAAAATTGGTCCAATCGTTGGGAGGCCAAAATTTGCTGTGGAAATTATCCAACAATTATTAAGAACTACATTACAAATTCCAATTAAAGCAAAATTTATGACAATGTTTAATTTGAAACTTGAAATGATCAAATTTATTATTCATTTTATTCAATAATTTAAAGAAATGACAGGTTCTGAAACAGTTTATATCACCCTTACTTTTAATGCCATCTACTATATCACAGATTTGGATATTTTGAAAATCTTAATAATCTTATAATTAAATCTAATGAGGGAGGCATCAGGTGGCATCTCTTTAGTGACAAATTATTTAGTATTTAAAATAATTGATATATAATAGCCTAATGTAATTTGAAAGTTGTTGGCTTATTATGTTACATACTCAGGTTTGTAGATGTTAGTTTATATATTTAGTAACTTATTTTTCAATTCCATGCAAGAAAAAAAAAAAAAAACAGATTTTTCCTGGTTACATTTTACATATATTGTATTTGAATAATACCTTGATTTTCATGGCTGCATTTTCAATACAGGACATGCATTACATTAGCAAGCTAACTTGTTTTGGATTTTTACATCTTGGAAATTGGGCATGCATTAAAATCGAGAAAACATGGTAGATATTCTCTTTTAACAAATCTTCCCCTTAAGAAATTTAGCCACGATGAAGTTACCTTTCATTTCTAGCACAGCACTATCCGGTACATCTTTTCCTTCTTCTGACTCTCTTTTGGCACATCTTCTTTGGAACTCTTCATCTGTAGGTACCAAAACAACTGCCTTTTTCTTAAATCCTTCGAACGGCCTCATTTTTCTTTTTTGGGCCGAAGGATAGACATTAGTCTGAAAATAAATTACAAATTAAATTATTTGTTAATAAATATTTTAAAACTGAAAAATCATTACATTCATTTGAAGATAATTCTTGAAGTATTAGGAATTAAGAAAAACAATTTTGTATAATATTTTTTTAACATTTTTCCCTTGTGCTAATTTTATACAAACTTTCTAAACACTTGTCTTATTTTGTTATATTTCAATTATTAAATTATTCTTATGACGACATGACTTCTAAAGTTGTTTACATTTAGATATTAAAAAAAATCGCAATAATAATTGAAAATTATAACCAGAATGAATGGTATCCATTCATGAAACTGTAGATAGGATATTTACATATATTTATTGTCAATACAACTCTTTACTTTGATACTGCATGTCAGTTTTTGACAAAAGGATAGTGTGTTTGATTATTCTATCTTGGCTCAACTTTTAAAAATATACTAGACACTGTCTATTTCAACTGTGAATTGTGAATGAGGCTTTGGTAAGTACAGCTTAATTAAACAGACTGCAAGTGTAAATTGTAAATGATCTGGTGCTGTTATTGATCAATACACCTAGCACTGACAATCTTGAGATATTCAGACTTTGAGAAAGCATTTGCAAATTGGTGTAAGGTCTGTCCAAAAAGTTTAGATAATTCAGTTTTCTTGTGAAAAATTCTATATAAATGTTATTATTTTTATTTAATACTAGCTGTAAAGACCCGCTTTGCTGGGTTTTTATTTGTTCGTACATTTGTATGTAATATATATATATATTTTTTTTATATATATAAAAGACTTTTTCTAAGTAATCTAGAATCTAGCTGCAAGGACCCGCTTTGCTGGGCAAAAAGTAACGATAGTGAAGATTAAGATAATAACATTATAGCCAATCTTACCTGTTTTCACAGAATGCAAGAATTAGGTCCCCTGTTTCCAGACTAATTAGAGAATTTTTACATCCAGTCAAACAAGCTATTTTCAATTTGATCAATTTTCTGGAACATTTACAATCGTTCTATAATCGAACCAATTCGAATTCGAAAATTTTTAAAATCGAAATAGAAAATCTTCCACTTTCCACCACTTTCAAGCCCATATCTCCTGCACCCTTATAGCTATCAAGACGCAACCACCATAGTGCACAAATGGAGACTTGGGGCTACTACCACATACAAATACCATTCATGTGCGATGTGTAGTTTTGGCTGAAAAGTGAAATATAGGGACACACATGTCCATTTTTATATATATATATAGATATAGATAATTGCTTTTAATACATCAATTAATAATTCTTATTATTTAGAAAAACTTTACACAATAATTTAGTACGGTGGAACCTCTATATTCATCATTGATCTGTTCCTAATGACCTAACGAATATAGAATATGACGAATATAGAAACAATTTTTCTCATAATAAATAACTGATATTCAATTAATTCGTTCTCATCCTGAAAAAAGGTACAAGAATAAAAATTATGTTGCTTGTAAAACTATTTTTATTGTACTAAATAAATACAGTATAGTGATAGAACGGGAAGAACAGTATTATTAATATAGTATTATTGTTTAGAAGAAGACATATCAATTAAAATATTAGGTAATTCCAATTATGATTATCGATCTGTTTTGCCAATGATTCAGTAGCACTCGATTTAATAAAGAACTTGTCCAGTATTGTGTTTTTGTCTGCTTTTTAAAACTTTTCCGAAGTAGGCAATGACATTATCATTGAATGTATTTGTATTTTGATTGCTGTAGCAACATTTGGGTGACACTTTGGAGCAATTGTAACTTGATTTCTTGCAGTGATATTTTTCAATAACTCAACAATACACACAAAGCAGACTGATTAACTACAGCTAGCTAATAAGTGCTACTTCTGGTGTTTGGAATGACGACAAATATGGAAAAATAAAAGTCATCAAAATGTGATGAATATCGAATATTATGAATACAGAGGTTCCACTGTATAAAAATTCAAATAAATTGTGTCCAAAAAGTTTAGGTAATTTTTATTTATTGGACTTTTTACATCTTTAAACTTTTCAAGTATTAATAATTTCATTCAATTGTTTAAAAAATCACATGGCGGTGTTATTTTAACAATTTCAACAAGTGCTTCATCTGTAATATTAAACATGCCAAGAAACAAACAATTCATTGACAATGATGTGGTTTATATTTGGAAAAGAAAAGTAGAAGGTGCTACAGTTAAAGAAATTCATGTCTACCTCAGGAATAGATAGATATTGAAAAAGGTGAAAATTGGAAAACTAAACCAAGATCTGAAAGACCAAAGGTGACTATTGAACGTGATGAAAGGAGAATTTTAAATCTTGCTTCAAATTCTACAACTTCTATTTGAAAAATTGCAGTAGATTTAGATGATAAAGTAAGTAAAAGCACCATTCATAATATATTAAAATCATCAACAACAATTACTTACACATGAATGGCCAAACAATCTCCCTTAAAACCACAACACATTCAAGAAAGGTTATACTAAGCAAGAAAAAACAGGTTGTAGAAAGAACAATCAAAAAGTGTAGGTTTGTTGATAGAAAAAAGTGGAATTTAGATGGCCCTGATGAGTGGGGCTTCTATTGGCATAATATTAGAAAATAACCTAGAACATATTTCAGTAGACAACAAGAAAGAAGCATTACGATGTGGGCAAGATTTGGGTACGGCGGGAAAACTTCAATTGCATTTATTTCTGCACAACAAAACTCAAAACTTTATCAACAAACTCTTCAATAGTATCTTTAATTTTTGTGGAACTGCTGGAAATAACTGGATATCTCATCAAGTTAATGCCCCTATTCATGTGTCTCACTCAACTCAAACCTGGTTTACAAAAAATAAGCTCATGAAGTGGCTAGCTAAAAGCCCAGACCTGAACCATATTAAAATCTTTGAAGCATTACATCTAGATAGGTATATGTCAATTGCAAGAGTATTCAAACATAGATCACCTAAAATCTGAAAATAAAAAATTTACCAGATGAATTCTTAAAAATCTTATTTTAAGAATGGAAAATAAAGTTTTTGAGTTAATTTTATGTAAAGGAAAGTTAATTAAACATTAAACATAAAATGGATTAATTATTTTCAATAAATATTACTGTTTTGTAAAATTACCTAAACTTTTTGAACAGATCTCAAAGAAAAGGAAACTTGGGCAATTTGGCAGTACAAGGAAATATATTGAATATAATCTTGATTTGTTTTTTGTGCCATTAATCTTATCTGAGAGATTCCCATGTAAGTAGTGTCTCAAAAGACTCACTACAAGTACTGTATAAAAATGCAAAGTCAAGTTATAATAAATTATGTACCCAACTCCAGAAAATATCTGTTGGTTTGTATGGAGAACAAATGTTTTTGGCAGTCTAAGCCACAATTGTTGGGTTACATTCACTTTTTGAACTTCTTGGATTGGATGTTTTCTTTCTTTCAAAATTTGGAATGTCATGTGGATTGGAGACATTAACATATTATAGATAGTTGATAGATCCTGGCCGCACCGAAAGGCATAGCCAGCGAGGGAGAGGAAGGAAGGAGGTAAGGGGGATTGAAGAAAGAGGGGGGGAAGACGGGGAAGAGAAAGAGGAAGGATGTAGATTACAAGTGCGCCATTGCTGGGCGTCAATTGCTGAGCGTAAAGGCGATAGAAGTAAAGGGGCCCGTGCATAGGAAAGCACATAATTGGTGAATGAGTGTACATTAACATATTATATGCTGTTAACCGATTGGTCAGTTGCATTCTTACTGCCCCTCATCAATGTTCTCTCTAATTTTTTTTGTAGATGAGTGGAACATATGCTTCTCTGAGCAAAAAAGAATTTTTGCTGAACAGATTATGAGCAAAAATTTTTCTGAGCATATATATACAGTAGAGCGTCGTTTATCCGAAAGAATTCCGGTCAGCAAATTTAAATTTTCGCTAGCGTTGTGGCGCTGCAATCTTTGGCTATATCTCGGGCTACTCCAATATTTTTTTTGTTGATGTGTCTGTTTCAGCTGGCAGCACTGGTACTTTTGTGTGGTGTTTTTCTGAGGACTGTGTTATGCTGAATCGAACGTTTTTGATACTAGATCAACTTCTAAAGTATATATTTTTTGGCTTTTATATTTTTCAATGTATTTATTTTGTTTGTACAAAATAAAGAAATAATTTTTAACGATACAATAGCCACGATTATTATTTTGAAAAGTTTATGTTAAGCTTAACATCGACGAAAATTCAACACGAAGCAACACACAATGGAGAAAATTTTCAACATGGGATAGGTTAATATATTTTTTCGTACATAATTGGTTATCCAAAATATCGATTTTCCGAACAACCCCAGTCCCCAATTGATTTGGATAANTATATAATAGGATTATATATATATATATATAATCCTATTTTTTCCTATAAAAATTAAAATAATTAATTATAACAAGAGATTAAAATTCATTTTAAAACATACATTTATACAAAATATTATCTTTTGTCAATGATTTAATGTATTTAATTGAAATATATGTAGCAATAATCACAGTGCAGACAGAGTGAGAAAAAAGTAAACAATTCAAATTGGTGTGCATGCTTGCCTGTGCAGCAACAATTTGAGCAGTGCATGGCCATGCAGCTTAAAGGGAACATTGCCCCTCACGTATGCTAGATTTCTAATAAGGCTCTCCGTGCCTGTACCACAGAGTTACTGTCTTTGTAATTGATGGCAGCATTGTCCTTTTATGCCTTAAACTTTTACTTTTTCTAGATGATTTGTTAGTTATGACAATACAATACTTGGGCGATCTGTCTAGGGAGGATGCCTTCCAGGAGATTTTTAAGGGTAACTGGCCCCTATTTAGACATTACAGACGTGGAGAAAACCTGGAAAACTCCATGTGGCTAGCCCGTCCTGGTCAGATGCAAACCCACAACCAGGTGCACTACTGGTTTTCAGGGAACAGAATTGCTTGGCCACTGGTGAGCCTTTTTTAGATGATCTAAAAAAAATACAAACTAACAAATATTTGCTGGAGTTGGGTAGGTAATTTATTATCACTATGTCCAGTTATAGTAAAGTGTTAAATGTAAGGTCGAGTTTACCAGTGCATTTTATTGTATTGTTTTTGTATTATAAACTTCAAATGGAAATAAATATGTGGAGAAAATTTTCAGTTCTTTTTCCACTGAAGAAACATGTTTAAAGCCAGGAAGAACTCAGGGGAGAGAATCATTCCTTTGTAAACAAGACAATAAAAAAGAAATTATCTTTTTGTTGATCTTCAACTCTTTGAAACAAAAGGGGCTACTTCTATCCATCAAATTTTCTAGTATTATGCAAACACGTGCATAATAATTAATAAATAAAAATGGTGTAAAACAACTGTTACATGCTGTTAAAATGTACTAGTTGGGTTAATAATAAGTAATTAAACAATCTATAAAGATATTTAAGTAGATAAATGCAAAAATTATATGCAGAAAAAAATTCTTAACTAGTCTCAAACCCATGACCTTCTGCTTGTTGAAATTCAGAACCAACAAACTAGACAACTCAGGAATCATCACTTCTTGCTTAGTGTTTACATTTTACCTTATTTAAACATCATAATTTATTTATTTATTTTTTGGTTTTTTTTAATGAAAACAAAACGTTTTGCAGAAAAAAACTTTCACTATGTTTATCAAGAAAACAATCTCTCTAAAAAGACACACATTCCATAAAATGTGGCATTGGTAATTCCCAACCTTCCTCATTAGTTTTTATTCTTTTTTAAATATAAAACAAGATCACGTTCGTTACCTAAGTGTTATGTTCGACCATGCACATGTCCACATGCATGCGCAAAAGGAAACTGAACATTTTTGTTTACTGTCACTGTAAGCTATAGTAAAAACTACCCAGTTAGTCTGGAATCTATAAACCACATCTCTTACTGTATATTNGTGCAATGCATCACGTAAAAAATCTGCCAAGATAAGTCTCTCTAAGGGAATTGGGCCTTCATTTATGTGTTAAATAAGTGAAAAACACCAAAAAAGTTTATCTATTGACGAAGTTCGAATCACGCAATAGGAGCTGAAGGGCATACTTTTTTAGAAAATTGACCACGTATTACGTTTTCTCATCACGCCAAACCAAACAGAAGAAAATTTTAAAAAATTATTTACTAACTTTTTGTATTTAAAATATACTGTACTCTTATATTACAGTGGTACCTCAGGATACGAACGCCCCAGAATACGAAATTTTAAGGATACGACATGAAATTCGAACATATTTTTGCTCCACGATACGAACAAAAACTCACCACACGATGTAACATTAGTTTGCAGTGCCATTTTTTATTCACTTCTGTTCATTGGTCTCAGTCTGCATGTTTGCTTCATCGTGGAAGGATCTCGTTCGATAAAGGAAATCTCGAGCTATTATCAGAAAGTGACTGATTTTATTGAAAAGAAACATTCCGAAAAGGTTCACACTGGCTATATTGCTGCTCGGAGTAATGACATTTGCCTAAGTTTTTTTAAAAACGTTTTAAAAAGTAGACAAAGCCAAACGTCTTTGGATAGATATTTTAGCAAGTGACCTCTATCCAGTGAAAGTGCTGGTGGAAGTGAAGGAAAGAAAGCAAAAAACAGTGAATAAAATTTAAAAAAAAGTATAAAACAGAAAATATAAAAAAATTAGTGTTAAGTTATTTTTAAGTTATTGTTAGATTATGTTATGTAAGTTAAATGTTAGTATCATTTCCCTTCTCCCTCTCTTCCGCCACCAGTTTACACCTCAACTGTCATCTATCCTCAAAGGTAAAGTGAAAATAAAACTACATTTTCTTTATCGATTATTATTCTATTATGGTTATTTATACATTTACAACTACAAAATGCATTTTTCAGTGATTTCCTTACTATAGTTATTTATTTATTTATTTTTTAATGTACTACTAAGCTTTAATTTGAGTGTGTTTTTCGTGTTGGAAAGAATTATTTGGTTTTACATGTAATTGTATGGGAAAAAATGATTCACTTTACATTTTCATGATACGATCTGAGTTTCGGAACGGATTAATTTCGTATCCTGAGGTACCACTGTATAGGGTACGTTCATAAAGTCGAATGAATAAAATGTGTTAGTAATGAATCGTTCAAAAAGCAGTAGCCTCGCTCAATGTGCATGCTCTGTGATGATGACATTTCACTCTAACAAAGTTCACAAAGAAAAGAGTTAGTTCACTTTGTTAAGAAAATGGCACCCGATGACATTGATGTTTTTAAATCTTCTTGAGTGTTTAAACTATGAATTAAAAGGTGAAATGATAGAAATAACTGTCCACCCGAAGCAATCTAAGAAAAATATTTCGGATAAGGCTGCACTAGCAACATTCATATCTTCAATTTTAGAAACAGCCATTTAGTTATAAACGAATCAGTCAAAAAGTCTAACGAAATAAGAATAATGATGATGTCATTCTCATTTAACTCGTTTGACTTTATGAACATACCCATTAGTTTTGTCAAAGTTATTTACTTTTTTATGACATTATACATCAGGTATGGCCAAACTTTTATCCCTTAGGGGCTACTTTTTTGGTAAAATATAGTCTGCGGGCAACTACGAATATGGGCAAACAATTTTAGGATTTTTATATGCGCATATGTTAACATTCATTTGCATTGTTCATCGGGATAAATACAAGCAGTATGGTACGTTGCACAGACAGTCTATTATTGTAAGAATAAATTATCAAATTTAAGATTTTTAAACATTAATTTAAGTGAAAGCAACTTGTTCAACTTTAGCTTCGTGGGCTACTTTCAAAACCTTTGCGATCGACTGTGGTCTTCGTGTTGGCCATCCCTGTTATACATGCATTAAGAAGTGTACAGTAGGATATACAGTATTTACAATAATTAATGTAGTTTCACACAGAGACATGCCAAGATATCAGTTGCCAGTATGACTTGGTCTTTCAAAATATGGTAATTCGATAAGACGTGGACTCACTTATAATGCAGGATGACATTTTGTACTCAGAAACTCGCATATATAGATATTTAATATTTCAAATAACAAATTCATATATTAAATGCTAAAATTATATATTCAAAATCTACATTTAAATATTGATATTTAATAGCACATTCATGATGTAAAATAAATTGCTACAATCTTAAAAGTTTTGGTTAATTGCCAAATTATATTTAACACTTTATAAATCAATAACAAAAGTAACATTTATCTCTTGTAAATGATTGAAACATAAAAAAAAATCAATTAACATTAAAATAAACAAATGAATAAAAAAAAATAGAAGCAATAGATACTATCAAAGATTAAAAATGTTTTTAAATAAATATATAAAATTCATACTTGATCTAATATATAATTACGAAGTTCACGAGATCCCATTTCTAATAATTTGTTCAGACATTTCGTCGATTTTTGAATTAAAACGTCCCATCGTCCAGCATAATTTCTTTTTCTAGGTAAACCCATTACCTTGAGAAAAACGTTTGAAAATACATTAAAAAATTATTCTGTAATTATCATTGTTATCACTATTAAAATTATTATTTCAATTGGCTAAATTTAATTTAAATGCGTGATAATTTTATGCCAAGCCAAGTATGTTACAATATTTTTGTATTAATCATTTTATTGCAATTATGACAAGCTTACATTTATCTAATTAAAAAACTTGTATGTTTATGAAATTATTTGAGTGCTGTATTGAATAACAATATAGATCTGTAAATTGTTTTCCCCATCGTCTCGACGAACAAGAATATGAATGATTTTTGTTCACCGGCTTGGCATATAATTATCAAAAAATTATGTATATATGAGGAAAAAATATATATAAATAAATTGTTTGAACAATTAATATAAAATGCTTTGACAGAGCATATAAAGTAAACAATACAAGAGGNATTCAGAAAGAATCAGAAATTTCAGAAATTAAAATTGATCTAAGAATTGCACAACGTGAAGCAAAACAAGCAGAAGACATTGTTGGATCATTACAGAGTAGTAATAGAAATTTGAGAGAGAAAGCAAATAACTTGGAAAAAAATAAATCTGAAGAGGATAACAAGCAAAAGCAATTAATGGAAGACATTGTAAATTTAAAGCAGGAATTAGAAGAGAAAAACAAAGAATTGGAGAATATAAATAAATTGTTTGAACAATTAATATAAAATGCTTTGACAGAGCATATAAAGTAAACAATACAAGAGGAGTTATGAGAATTTTCAAGTTATACTCTCATCTTCTGGCAAGATTATTCTAAAACAATCATGATACGATCCCTACCAAGCATCTTATCACAGTTACGTTTTAGAACTAGCTTGCCCAAAGACAAGAGTATGACTTTAAAATGTTTGTAACATCCTCTTGTTTACTTTATGTGCTTCATCAAAACATTCGCTATTAAATTGTATATATTAAATGGAGCTGTAGTTATATACAATTAATATAATATAGATAAATATTACAAGTTAATATATTGAAAGTTAATTTAATTATAAGTAGACAACAAAATAATTTCATATTAACAAAATTTCATGCATTGAATGTAAAATAATTCATTTATTAATGATTTGATGAAAGAATTTACAGCATAATACTCTACAATGTTAAATTAAATAATACAAAAAGATTGTTAAATAAAATGCATGCAAATACTCACATTAGGCACAGAAGAAAAAGTTAACATCTTACCTTCATCTTATCAATTATACTATTTGTTCCTAATAGGTTGTATTTCTTATCAGGATGTAATGCAATGTAATTTACAGCCCATGTAGTTTTTCCAGCACCAGGTAAGCCACACATCATTATAATCTAAATACAAAATGGTATGTTAATTTCTGTCATTTCTATTCATATTTCCTTTCAGACATATAGTAAATCATGATATATTAAAGGTATACACACACATAAATAGAATAAAAATGCGTAAATGCATTAAGTCAGAAATTAAATGCTAGAGCCGACGTATCGAGTGACAGATTATGATCAAAGTGCACAAAACATAAGAATCTGAAGTAAGACCATTTCACTTTCTTGTGCTTAAATTTTGTTTTACAATGGAACGGATGTGAATCGATGTTTTCTTAAATTTCTATTTATATCTAATAATTGTTGTTATAGAATATTTGTACTATTTAAAAACAGTATTTTAATTTTTAATAATAATATAATATAAATGTAAATCTACCAGTAATTAAATTTCAGAAACAGTTTTTGAGACAGAAGATACACTTTAAATTTCTGCAAATTCTGAATATTTAAATTACATTTGCATAATGTTTTTTATTCTCAAAAGTAATCATTACCGAAGTTTTCAGCATTAAATTTTATTGCTAAAAATAAATGTAACTTCTTTAATCATAATATATTTCATTATGACAATATTTATCATCATCAATCTTTCTATAATTGATAAGTCAAAAGTGCAATATATTTTATTAACTATATATTTCTCTTATATCATAGTCATTAATATATATATTAATCTCCCTTACTCTTATTTTGATCCTAATCGATAATCACATATTTTTCCATAATCTTAAGTTTTATGGTATTTCATTATAAATTTTGGCTTAACTCATGCTGAAAAATGTTTGTATTAGAATATTCAAATACATCATTTGTAAAAAATCTGGAAAGTGTTATGGAATGTAACACTTTCCAGATTTTTTACAAATGATGTCTTGTCTTCCAGATTGTCTTGAATTTTGGACCTTACAATGATTTACAAACAATTTCTCTGCTACAATTAACGAATAGACATAATAAAACAATGCTTTGTATCTTAATGTTTTCTTAAAACAATTCAGATTTTATATAATAATTGATTAAAACACTGTTTCATCTTCCTGAATGAATCATTATCTGTTTCTGTACTTAACAAAAATCCCTCTTCTTCCCTTTAAAAATTTTATTATTAATTAATAACAATTTACAATTGAAATACTTAGATAATATGATATTTAGTTATAGAATAACACTGACAGTGATAAATTCCATTAAATTTATATGTGCCATGGACATTTAAAATATGAATAAATTTGGGTTTGTTTATTTTAAAAACCCATTATCTATTCATTTCAAAATGCAAATATGATTTGATAAAATCTTGGTATTAAGAAATATTTAAAAAGATATACATAGAATACTCAGAAATTAAAAATGAAGGTGCATTTTCGAATATATTTGTGTCTATGGGATCTAACATGATGATTCTTACAGATCCGACACAGCAAAGTTCGTTCTTCAAATGAAACGTGTGAAGCATTTTCCTGATGTTTAAAACACATGTTACATTTTCTACATGTTGATAAAAAAAACACAACCTACTATGACAAACTATATAAAGATAAGACTCAGATTAAAAAGATGTAACTAGCTATCAATCTAATGCTTCTTATAAAATATCCTGTTTTGAAATATATTAGTAAACATTAAAAACAAATGGAACAAGTTAACAAGACAAGCACATACTTTTCTGATATTTCTCTTATTTAATTTTATAACCAGACATATTGTGTACATATAAAATATATATTAATTCAAACTGATCTACATAAAGCTTTATATAATATATCAATATATATCTAATAATCTATGTAATGTTAATAGTTAACTATCAATAATACAATTAAAGATTTAGTGAATATATATATTGTTATTCTTTTAAATAAACATTACTATAGAAGGCTGAAACTTTGAGGATGTACCAACCGTAAGTCTGACAACGATGCATTTTGGAATTGAAATGACGCCATCTGAAAACCTTATAAACCTAACCAAACATAGAATTTAATCATGTGTTTATGTACTGTACTGTACATGTTATGTAATGATGTTTACGGCAGGGTGAGGTCACCCCATCATCACCACCACTAATTCCCAAACTCCAAAAATGTGACAAATAAAAGCATTTTTTAAAATATACTAAAATTATTTTTATACTAGGTATCAAAGATGCTCTATGGGCTCTAAAATTTTTGAATATTTTTTATCAAATAACAAACAAACATCATTTTGTTGGAGCTAACAAGTAAACTTTGAAAGGAGTAATAATTCTTTTTACCTTTTTGTCCTTACTTTTTACATTTCTGTGTATATATTGTCTACTTGGACTTTGTTTACTAATAGGACTTCATTATAGTGTTTATTTACAACTATTGTGTTATTTTTAATTATTTTTCTTCTTCTTAAACATATTTTGAAGTACAAATATAAACATCCCAACTTGATAGTTATATATTAAAGCCAAATGATTTCTGGATTATATTGGGTTATATTACTACTACTATTATTAATTAAATTTTAAGTAATTTGGCACTAGAGGCAAGTGTTAGGTGCCATCTCTTGCTAAATTTAAGAAAAATCTTAAGAAAAGAATCGGCCCAAAGGAGGACTCGAACCTGTCAAAACTGCAACTCCTGTTTACCACACAGTTGCATTGCCAGTTACACTATCCGGACCTTCATCCGATCCTCGCTTCTACAACTTATTAATTTGGATACAAGCATACTTGGTTACCCAAGGTCCAGGTAGCATGACTGGCATAACGACTGCATGGTAAGGCCAATTCTTTTCTTCCAGAAGCTTCTGAATTAATCATTAAAATATTAATTTAATTACAATTATTAAATTTCACAAGAGATGGCACCTAACACTTGCCTCTTGTGCCAAATTACTTAGCATTTAATTAATAATAATAGTAGTAATATAGCCCAATATAATCCGCCAATCGTTTGGCTTTAATATATAACTATCGGGTTTAGTATTTTTATGTTTGTACATACAGTAGAGCGACGTTTATCCGAATCAATTGGGGACTGGGATTGTTGGATAACTTATTTTTCGGATAACCAATTATGTACGAAAAAATATATTAATTTATCCTGTGTTGAAATTTTTCTCCGTTGCATGTCGCTTCGCGTTGAATTTTCGTCGATGTTAAGCCTAACGAAGACTATTGTATCGTTAAAAATTATTTTTTTTATTTTGTACAAACAAAATAAATATATTGAAAAATATAAAAACAATAA